TTCCTGTTCCTTCAGAAAACCAGAACAGAACCAGAGCGGAGAGAGGAGAGACGGAAAAGCACCGTGTGGTTACTGTAAGGAGGTGGGCCCAGAACTTCCTCCTCGCGCTGCGCCGGCTGAGGTTTGAGCTAAATCATGTTTCAAAGTGACAGGTTCCCAAGCTGCAGTAGCACAGAAACATGCACAGTTCCAGACGCACACACAGGGGTGGGTACAATTATGTAGGTTAGAATAATTGATGTGGAAACAATAAGAGTTGGGGTCCCCTTTAATGGTTTTTGCAGTGTTTTTCCATTGCTTGTAGGAGGTGGCGGGGTTTGCAGGTGCACAGAGACTACTCACGGAAAAGTACAGATATTTAGAGACTTACTACTGTTGTACTTCTCAATCAGAGGTGGTAGTGTCGACAAAAATTGTACTCAAGTAAGAATCACGTTACTTCAAAATAGTATTACTAAAGAAAAGAAGTAGAAGAAGTCTTGTCCTCGAAATAAGTCAAGGAAGAGTAAAATGTATTTGAGTAAACTACTGAAGTAAGTAACTTAATCAGTTTTTTCTTCAAAATGACAGATGAGACAAACAAAATGAGACAAAATTAGGGGTGTCCGAAAATATTGAAATATCACCATATCGTATTGTTTAATGTGATGATACAGTAACGATACTGTGAGCTGCTGTACCGATATCGCCAAGAGTATTTTACTAAATGATTTTGTTTCGGTGCTACAGTTTTGTTGTTTGTTTAGAGGAAGGAAACTCATTTATGCGACACATTTGACATTTTCACTGTTTTGATGATTTAAATGTTTGTGTTTTATGTGAACTTTGCACAAGAAGTGGTTTAACAAAGACTTTTGGTGTCAGAATCATGATTTTGCATTTATCTTTTATTGAAACACATCAAGTCGATTTGAAATGTGTCGAATCGAAAGCTCACTGTATCGAGATATGTATTGATGCATCGTATCGGCAACTTTTTAATGATACCCAGCCCTAATGAGATGCTATTGCTTTGTCTGGAATGCTCCACAGTATGGCATTAAACTTATCTCCACGGAGACTAGCAGAAAAACAAAGCACAGAGCAAGTTACAGATGGAGTAGAAGTTTTAGATGAACTTTGCACAAGAAGTGGTTTAACAAAGACTTTTAGTATCACAGCCATGATTTAGCCTTTATTCAAACATATCGAATCGATTTGAAATATATCGTATCGAATCGAAAGTGCACTGTATCGAGGCCTATGTATCAAGGTATGTATCGTATCGGTAACTTCTTAATGATATCCAGCCCTAGACAAAAATCATCTCTAAAAGGAGCACTGCAAGAAACACAAATGTTCAAATCATATCGTATTGTCAACATAAAATGTTTGTCACTTGTAGACTTACTAACCACAATTTTGACTCAAGCTCGATACAAATATTACTCAAGTATGAATAAAAGTATGCTGCTGTACTCTGAAAACTGATGTAAACTGAAAGTAAATTTAACAGAAGTACCCACCTTTGTTCCAGTTACGTTTTGGTTGATGGAGCAGGGATCAGATTAAAAAGCTACTTCTAACTTTCTTTAGTTTGAACATCAAGCAGCAAATAGTCTGTTTAACAAAGAAACAGCTGCAACACAAGATGCGTTACACAGTTTTTGGGGGTCATTGCTTTGCTTGAAATTGTTCCAAAGTTAATTGTATATAAAGAATTTAGTCCATTGTACATTGTAACTTTCTCTGTGCACGGTGTTACTGCTAGTCTCCATGGAGATGGACAAGTTTAATGCCATAGTGTGGAGCATTCCAGGCATTCGAGTATCAAAGAAGGTGCCGATACGATACATACCGTGATACATTCCATGATACGATACAGTGCAGTTTCGATTCGATGTGTTGTATTTTTTATTGAATCGATTTGAAATATATCATGGTTGTGATACTAAAAGTCTTTGTTTAACCACTTCTTGTGCAAAGTTCATTTGAAACACGCCCATTTTAATCATCAAAACAGTGAAAGTGTTGAATGTGATGCATAAAAGAGTTTCCTTCCTCTGAGCAAACAACAAAACTGTAGCACTGTAACAAAATAAACCAAAAATTACTTTATAAAGCAGTCCCCGATATCAATACTGTATCATCACTTTAAACTATACGATATCGATATTTAGATATTTTTGCACACCCCTACACTTCATGAATCACTTCTCTTTTTTTTTTTTTTCCATTTTCACTGTTATGTCCCCTATGTCCAACAAGGGACACAACGAGTATAAAACAATCCTTGAGGCAAAGTAGGTTATAAATCCTTGCATGAAACATTCACACTAGGCAGCCTTTACGAGATCAAAAACCCGCATAGAAGATTCCACCTTCAAGATTCAAACGCTAAAGTAAACAAGCACAGCGGACCTTCCCCCAGAAAAGCGACATACAGTGCACCTCGGTTACCGCAGTGACCTTCAGCCGAGCGAGCCTTACTTACACCACACAAAAACATGCTTAAAGTTTGACCACAGAACATTTATATACACATGCAGCTGCAGCAGCAGCAATAGACCCGACTCAACCCACTTCTCGAAAAGATGCGCCGAGTAACTTTCCTGGTGGAGGCAATATGGTTTAAGACTCGCGGATTTCCATGAAAACAAGCATGTGACGCCACCGAGCCAAGTTACAGGCCAGAGCTATGGAGAGATGAGTTTTCCAGGTATTTTTGAGCAATAAAAACAACTTTAATTGAATGAATGCAAGCTGGATATGTTTAAATGTGGAATATTCCGGACAAACATAACATCGTCACAGAGAACCTCACCATGAAAGTTACACAATGCACCATTAACGTCAAAATAAGTCCGCTATGTACTTTTTGCATCTAGAAAACATTTTACTGTGCGACAATCAGTAAGTGCACTTTGGCATGCTAGTTGCAGTCACAGCAAAACTTTGCTCTGGTCTCTGAAAGTTGCGAATACCACTTATAAACTCATAGCGGTGAGTAATCAGGAAGCTCAGAATGCAAAAGGCAAGTGAGGAAAAACTATGAGCCACTCCAAACTAGTTCAGATTTTCACATTTTTAAAACAATAAAACATTTATAAAACTGTAAACTGAGAGAATTCATGATAATTTAATGTTACAATCTTAAAAAAGAAAAAAAAAAACTGAAAAAGAATCAGTTTGAATTAGGGGTGTATCGATATCCAAGTATCATGATACGATATCACAGTGTGAACCTCACGGTACGATATTTATTGCAATATCGTGGGAAAGTTCACGATATGGTGGGGAGGCTCAGGATTAGGGATGTAACAATATCCAAATCTCTCGGTACGATATTTTCACGATATACATCTCACAGTACGATATTTATTGCAATATTTTGTGAAGGCAAACAAAACTGTTAATATTCTACCTTTTCCTCTTAAAATTCCTTGACAAGACTTAATCCAAAGAACTTAAAAGTGCTTAGAACTGTTATTTCTTCTTTTAGTCTACGCTGAAATGGAGCAAAGGATCATGGTCGATGTAGTTCCCTCTGTCTTTTTTTGCTGCACCATAACTCTTAATTTAAGCAAAGAGACTTGTGAGTCGATATATTGTGATGGTCCACGATATTATTGTGAGAACTTTGACGATACAATATCACGATATTTCGGTTATTGTTGCATCGCTAGTTCGAATATACTTCATTAGGGCTGGGCATGATTAAGAAGTTGCCGATACAATGCATATCTCGATGCAGTGCACTTTCGACTCGATATGATGCATTTCAAATCGATTCGATACGGTTCAATAAAAACTAAAGGCTAAAACATGGCTGTGATACTGAAAGTCTTTGTTAAACCACTTCTTGTGCAAAGTTCATATGAAACACAAACATTTTAAATCACCAAAACACTGAAAATGTCAAATGTGTCGCATGAAAGAGTTTCCTTCCACTAAACAAACAACAAAACTGTAGCTCTGTAACAAAATAATTTAGTAAAATATACCAAAAAATACTCTTGGCGATACATCGATACAGCAGCCCACGATATTGTTACTGCATCATCACATTAAACAATAAGATATATCGATATTTTGATATTTTTGCATACCCCTCACTTATCACTGCTATTGTAAAAAAAAATTTCTATATTCACACTAGGCAGCCTTTTCAAGATCAAAAATTAACACACACCCACATACAAAATTCCACCTTCAAGACTCAAATGCTTTAGGAAAGAATCTTTAAAGGAAACTCCAGTGGGTGCACAACAGAGGTGGAACAGAACCAGGGAAAGTACTAAACACGTATTTATAGTCTGCGACGAGTTTTGTTTTAATTGAGAAGAAGAGGAGGAGGTTTCGCAGACTATAAAAGAACAACGTGGTGCATATGAAAAGATTAGAATCTGGTTGTATTGATATTAAAATGTGCAAGGTAATTTTACAACTACACTTTTGCGAGAATCTTGCGTGTTGCTTTTCAGTAAGTGATGGAATACGTGAAGTTGCAACCACGTTATTGATTAAAACGGTGGTTATAATCGGCTAAAATATCATTAATGATTGTCAAATGAAGGTGCCTCAAGAAGAAAATACATTAAACAGTTGGAGATGGTGGCATGTTTTCAGTTTTTAGCAAGTACGATCCAAATTTTGCAATAAAATTTGATTAAAAAGCGAAAAAATATCGTATTGCTTCATTTTTTCTTGATACGTTAAATCATTGTAGCGTTATATAACATTTTTGAGTTTTTACTAAGCGATTATTTAAGTTAATGGAGCAACGATGTGTCAATTTCCCATTAAAACAAACAAAATATCATTAATATACATATTTGGAAACTGTTTTTGTGCGTTCCACGTGTTACAAATTCACCATCTGAAAACAATTAGACGCCAAATTACGCGCGTACGTGTTTAATTAACCGTCCCTGCTCGACGTAGCCAACTTTTTTCGTGAAATCTTTTGAACATCCGTGAACACAGATGCACCTTGCTACTACTAAAGAGGATGTACTCACCAGTAGATGTACGGGGAAACTACAGACATGTATGCTCCGGTTCCGCCGAAGTGAAGTGCAACTCCGAACTTTCCCAACCGAACGAACTCAACAATCAACCCGGCTGCCACTCGTCTACGCGCGGCCACAAAAGCTTTTAATTTGCGCTTTGCCCGAGTTCCATGCGCACTATATAAGCGAGAGGCGGGTATCGGAGCGAGCCAGTGGAGTATGACACACACCTCCCTCCAAAGCGAACGGCGTAAATGCTCAATGGCGCTGGGTGGTGGCGCTCCCCCCCTCCTTTTACGCGCGGCGGCCAATCGGATCACAGGAGTCCAGTGACGCCAGAAGTCATTGCAGGTTCTCGTTGGGAATAGAATTTGATGATGTCAAAAATCTCAGATCAAGGACGAATGGATGATACTGGTCTATGGCTGCTGTTGTTTCAAATGAAATGCCGAAAAGCGTGCGTAAAAATGCAATATAAACCCTGATTTTAGTTTGCGACGATTGACTTCGAGTTTACTGTGATAATCTTGTGTTTTATTGCGAATTAAGACACGTTTTGTTGTAGAATTCTGTTGGAGGACAAAAAAAAAACTTTGTGGGAGCTGCTGTTTAAAATGAAATATCGAAAATTTTGCGTAAAAATGCAATATAAACCCTGATTTTAGTTTGCGAGGCTTGACTTCGCGTTTACTCTGATAATCTGGTGTTTTGTTTTTTTTTTTTGCGAATTATTAAGACAGGTGTTGTCGCTGTTGAAGAAAAAGCTTTGTGTTTGCTGCTGTTTAAAATGAAATATCGAAAATTGTGCGTAAAAGTGCAATATAAACCCTGATTTTTAGCTTACAAGGCTTGATTTCGCGTTTACTGTGATAATCTTGTGTTTTACTGCCAATTATTAAGACACGTTTTGTTGCTGTTGTAGAAAAAAACTTTGTGGGAGCTGCTGTTTCAAATGAAATATCGAAAAGTGTGCGTTAAAATGCTATATGTACCCTGATTTTACATTGTAAGGTTTGACTTCGCGATTACTGTGAGTATCTGGTGCTTTATTGCGAATTATTAAGTCATGTTTTGTCGCTGTTGTAGGGTGGGAAAAAAGCTATTTTAACGCTACTAACAGAGACGACGTACGTTTTGGCAATAAATATCTGCGGCTTAACACTTTTCATCGGTCTACCACAGAATTCCGATGCCGCCTGAATTGTAGCCTATATATGGGTGCTTTGAGTCATCCGCGCTACATGGGTGATGCGATACGTGGTGCCATTGATTTAGAGTCTCCAAGGCAACGTGAGGACAGTGCCGCCTGCAGCAGCGCGTCTTGAATGACAAAGCTCTCCGGTTAGGTAACGCGTGAGAGGCGAGGGAGGGACACAGCCGCGTCTTGCTCATTCACAAATTTATTCCAAGGACAAGTCCATAGGCTGTATATTCCGCTGCCGTGTCTCAGAGCCGTGCGTAATCCCGCTGAGGGGCGTTACATCACTCGGGCATTCGGTTGCACCACGGTTAATTAGTGTCAAAATGTGCGCCTTGAAGTGTGCGTAACGGTGCCAAAGTGACCTTCACGGCTCGTAATTTACGCGCGGAGCTCCCCAGCGCTCGGTGTGCCGGTGTGAGGGGAGAGCGGAGCAGGTGCACACTCGGGACCTGTGCGCTTTGTTTAAGAGTCATCAGGAAGTCTGGGTGGTGCTCTGCTGCCGTCTAGCGGTGAACAACAGAACTATTTTTAAACTAGGCGCTTGAGTGTCTTAGCAAGGACACCTCCAGTTTATTGTTGAACATTTCTCTGTGGTTTGCTCTGGCGTCATCCAGCTCTTACAAAATGTGTCTTTTTTTTTTTTTTTTTTTTAACATTATCGGTTTCCTCGGTTAACATTTCTCACAGAAGCGGTCACTATGTTCCTCATTTTATCTCGGCTGCATTTTGTCTTCAGGCTGTTCTTCTTTGCACTTATTTAAATCTGCTTGTGTGGAAGCAGAGTCAGGTTTGAATAACCAAAACTAATGCGCTGAGTTGTGTTGAGTTTTCAAGTTCACTGGGTCCTGAACTGATAGTAAATAAACTTCTCCTGCAGTCTCCCGTCCCTCTGTACAACTTTAGGACAATAACAACTAGTTTGGGATTTTTCTGTCCAAAGAACGTTAAACCAAAATGAATGAATGAAAAAATAAATGAAGTTATTTATTAGTACAATCATTTCATCTATTTATTTGTCGTGATACTTTCATTCCGCACTCTTCTCTCTAATTTAATGTCTTGCTTTCTTTTTAATTTTATGATTATTATTTATGTTTTGATTTGATTTGTTTTTATTATGATTTTAATGTATTTCTTATTCCGTAAAGCACTTTGAATTACTTGGAATTGTGTTATACAAATAAACTTGCCTTGCCTTGCCTATGTGTTTTTATTTATTTATTTTGCACATATAACATAACCACAAAAAAAAAAGTTAAAACTAGATAAAAAAGTAGGCAAAGAAGAGGCAAAAAACCCAAAAGGCTTATCGCTGTGCATAAAAAAATACATATATGTATTAAAAAATTACATTTAAACATCACCATGAAATATCAAACATTTCCTCAAACTCTTTTAAACAACACCTCTGATCTGCCGTCACAAACTAGATGTGAAAACTGGCTCCTGAATTTACAGCCTCTGTATCGTATCAAAACTGAGCTCTTGATGTGACACATTTTGGAACATGAAAATTATGATTTTGACAAGTTTTGTATCTATGAATCTCTGCATTAGTTTTAAAATAAAATGTGAAATGTTTGGGGATCGTTGTTGAATTATAAAAAAATTTATACATAATACAAATTTGATAAATATTAATCTCATAGATATTAAGAATGTTAAGTTCGGTGAATAAATGAGCATGGATAATGGATAAATGGATAATGTGACATGATCCATCTACTTCTGTAAACTATAACATGAACCTGGGCTTGGACCACAGGTGGAAATGAGGTGGAAATTTAACTATATTTTTATATGATATAACTTGATAGACTGCATCTTTCCTCTTGGTCAATGTCTATTGTACTGTCCCTGTAAAAATAAAAACCTACCACATTGTACCATATCATACCATACCAATAATCTTACTTTCTTCATTTCATATTACAGGCATTTAAAACAAGAAGTGTTAATCATGTTTACTCCAATTTTCTTCAAAAAGTGGCAAAAGTTGAAAAAAATAAAGATAAAAAGGTGCTTGGCTGGATATATTGTATGTTATCGACTGTGACAGTAATGGAAAGCAGTATCAGTGTTAGTCCCTGAACAACCAAATGTAGTAACATCACTGCGCTGTATCTGTGTGTACTCCTGAAACTGAAACCGTTATTCTTGTCGTTACGGCTGCAGCAGCTCGGTCCGGTGCTTTCACAAATGTGGTCACGTCGAGTTTATTTAGAAAGCACATTTATAAGAACCACAGCTGTCAATTCAGATAAAACAAGATATGCAAAAACTAGACTAAAAACAACTTACGCATAAAAATGTTTTAGTTTTCTTGAGTCTGGAATTGCTACTGCAAAAGCTTGGTCCTTCTACAATTAGTTTTTAAAGAAATTGCACTTTTCACAGTTCTTTTCTAACAGCATATTTACTACTTCAGTATTATTTTTTTATTGAAGTAACAGTACTCTTAGTTGAGTAGAAGTTGTGGTTCCTCTTTCCACTGTGAGTAAGTCTAAAGTGACAAAAGCTTTATGTGAAAATATGAAATGATCTGAACATTTGGGTTTCTTGTAATTCCTTCAGATATGATTTATTGTCTCATTTTTGTGTCTGTCCTTTCAAAATAAGAGCAAAAAAACCACCCAGACAGAGCGATATCATCTCCATGGAGACAAGCAGATGGTAAACTAGAAAAGTTACATAGTGCACCTTTCCACCCTGTCCATCTACAGTCCACAAATTGTCAACATTTTACAACTATTTGAGGTGGTTGCCATAGATGCAGTTAGTCAGCAAATTGTACTGACTCAAAATGACCACAGGATGTCACTAGAGTTTGAGGAATAACAAGGAGTAACTCTCAACTTTCTCTCCTCGCTTCCTTTGCTTTGATTCCTCTCCTCGGTGTTCAGTTTTTCAGCTGTCAGTCAAACGTGTCATTTTAAGTGATGCCGCAAAGAAAACCACGGAAGGAAGAAGTAAACCTGAGAGCAAACATCAGAGAAAATAATCAAACTTTATTAGTCTCACTGAGGAGTTTGTATTGTCTCTCCTCTGTGGCTGCATCTGATTTCTCTTTCCTCGCTTCCTTCCTTGATTCCTCTCCTCGATTCTTCAGGAAATGGGTGAGAAAGTCCCACCCACAGTGATACAAAGCGAAGAGAGAGGATCTAAACTCCTCACTGAGACCGATAAAGTTCGATTCTTTTCTCTGATGTTTGCTCCTGAAGCTGCCCTCAGGTTTACTCCTTCATTCTGTGGTTTTCTTTGGGACACCACTTAATATGACACGTTTGATTGGCAGCTGAAAAAAGGAGGATCAAGGAGAGGAATCAAGGAGAAGGAAGCGAGGAAAGAGAAATGAGATGCGGCCTTGGTCATTTTAGTATCAAGTAGAGTTTTATATTCTTGGAACTCTAACTATACTACAAATTAATGCATCTTAACTCGAATAAACAAGTATATATGACAGGTTTTCATGTGTTTGTAATTCTGAGCTGGTTTGGTGGTAAAGTATCTGTGGTTATCAGTTTGTTTGTGGAAAAAAATTTGAGATGAAAAATACAAAAACACAGAAATATAGAGCTGAGTTCTAAAACAGAACAACAAAAACTCCGAAATACAGGGTAAATTTATGGTCAAGGAAGGTACTTTTCTGACACTTTAAACTTCATTTAAAGGGAGGGCATTATGCAAAGTCAACTTTTTTCTACCAAAACATGCCTGAAGAAGTTTTAGATGTCATCCATGCATGTTTGAGTAATATAGTGATCTCTCCCGGGCTCTATTCAAACCCTCTTTACGGTTTGCTGTAAGCATAATACAAAACTAGGGATGTAATGATATAAAAATTTCACAGTACGATATTTTCATGATATACATCTCACGGTACGGTATTTATTGCGATATTTTGTGGAAGTTAACAAAATTGTGAATACTTTTTCCTTTTAAAATGCCTTTACGAGACTTGATTCAAAGACCTAAGACTTAAAAGTGCTTAGAACTGTTATTTCTTCATGTAGTTTGCACTAAAAACGAAGCAAAGGATCATGGTCGATGTA